AGGATCGAAAACTTTCTCATTCTTGTTTGTTTTCGGGGGAAATTATTTTTAATCCGTGTGTTGAATTGATAGAAAACAAAGAAATTGGCACAAGATGATAACTAGATGTTGGAAAATATGCTTCTGGTTTTACTTCGGTCATCGGTGGTGCATTTCTTACTATTTTGACTTCTGTAATTGAGATTCAGAATTTTACTAGCATTAGTGTTTGTTATTTTCACCGCAAAACGTGGTGGTTTTAAATTGATTTTTGTGATGCTGAAAGCATTCTCAAGCACTGTTAATTCGTTATTTGAAACGAAATTGGCGCAGAGACAATAATTAGAAAATATGCTTTGGGTTTGGGAATTGGCAGTACATTCCTACTATGACATCAGGAACCGAGATCGGCATTTTTCTCGTTGTGTATTTGTTAATTTTCGCTGGAGAAGTGATCTCTGAGAATTGTTGATGTTAAAAAATAAAATATACTTGAAGTGCTCTGTTGATTCCTGAAGCTTTTTGTAATGCTGAAAGCCACTGTTGAATGTCAAGTTTGTTTGTTTATTTGAACAAAATTGGTACAAGATGAGAACCAGTTGTTAGAATAGATGCTGGACTGCTTTTTCATTCCTGAAACCACTTAAATGATGACAGTTTTGTTTTTTTTTTTTTTTTTTGTTAGTTTACTTAAGAGATTGGTATATTGGTACAGTCCTTCGCATTGGATTCAGGAGAGCCAGTAATGCAGTATGGACAATCAATTGATGACGGGGAAACAAGCCAGACTCAAATTCCATCGTTTCTCGGTCAGTAAATGCTTTTGTTGTTAATTATTCTGCCTTACAGTTTATATTTCTATTTCTTTTTTCTGTTTTTTCAGGTTAATATAAGTAAACAGAAATATATTTTAGGATTGATTTGACTTTTCATTATTGAGACAAAAAGTTATACTGCCTTTTGATGTTATAAACAAAAATACAATCCATAATAGTACTCGATGATGAAAAGCAAAATTGAAAATTATATAATTTCTTGTTATGATAAATAAGATCCCAAAAATTATTAGGAGAAATATCCAATTTAGTCAACATTTCATCTCCATGTTTCCACACAAACAACCTGCCAGTATTGGTAAGGGTTTTGGTACCGGGCTCCTAGTGAGTGTACTATACTGTCAGTTTTCACAAAAGATTAATCTAAATAATTAAAGTTTTTTATATTGAAAATATAGTGCAAATATAGTAATTAATTCTGGAAAATTTGGTATTGACATAAATTAAGTAAGAGTTTTGGTAATAGTACTAGCATCGTGCCTTGGTATAATTACTATACCTATTCGTGATATTGTTATATAGATAACATTGAAAAAGAAAAATGTATTCACAAATAAGTTCGATATGAGGTCAACAAAAATATCAAATGAAGGCAAGTTAAGAATTATGGTCAATGTCGTACTTGTGGTGGACTAAAGCATAATATATTCAATTTCTTTTCCAGGGTTTTCTTCATATTTAAAATACGTGTGGATGAGGTTGGTTGTGAAGAATGGGAGGACTATTTTAAACTTGCATATAAAAAAATTTAAAATGGAAAAAGTTAAAATTTTACAATAATCTAATTAAATAAATATACAAATTATAAACATATAAACTACACCATATAATTTTTTTTAATATATTATAATAACCTAATCAAATATATATACATATATAGTGGTATATACTTCACTATATATATATTCTTCTTCTTTTTCTTGAAATGGATTGTCGTTTCAAGAACCCACCAACCCGTTGCCCCACGCCACCGGAGCACTTACTTGCCGTCATCGTTTCACGCCAACACTATTGACGATGCCGTCCATCTTTGCATCTTTCGTAAGTCTTTTCGTGCCATAATCCCCTCTCATTTCCAAAGCCTAGTTCCACTTTCAAATCAAGGAACTTCCTTCCCCATTGGCCCTACCCAATCCTGTCGATATGACCACTTTCTGCTCACTGAGTTGACTGTTTATGCTCACCCCTTCCCATTCGTAAAATGACACAACTTCAATAATCCTATATAACCTCTTGATAAGAGCTTGAAAATATATATTTACTTTGTGGTTTATGGGGATTATTTGTGAGAAATTAGGCTTAATTTGGTAAAATTATTTGATATTTTCATAATTGTCTTTTATGGAATCACGGGTATATTTGAGTGTTTTTCAGGTTATTAGTGCTAAATGTTATAAACGGAATTAGTGACAAGTAGAAACAAATGGATCAAGAATCGGAATTCAATTAGAAAAGTTATGGAGCTTTGAAATAAAGAGGAGATTCTAAATTACGCTTCAGTTTGAGCATGCTTTGGTGTTTCATTAATATATTACTAGTTAAATGATTATTTAATCAATTATAATATTACATTATAGTTAAATGATTACTTAATTAATTATAAATTTATAACATTACATTAGTAATTTAGTAAATAAATTAATTAAATAATTAGAAATTTAATTAATTATAACATTAAAATAAAAATTTATAGTATAATTACTTAATTAATTATAACATTACATTATAAACAAATGATTACTTAATTCATTATAATATTACATTATAATATGATCACATAATTAATTATAGCATTACATAATTAAATAATTATTTAATTAATTATGACATTATATTATAAATATTAGTAATTTACTATATTAACACAATACTTAATTAAATGATTAGAAATTTAATTAATTATAACATTACATTATAAATTTATAATATGATTACTTAATTAATTATAACATTACATTATAAATAAATAATTACTTAATTAAATGATTGGAAATTTAATTAATTATAATATTATATTAAAGATTTATAGTATGATTACTTAATTCATTATAACATTACATTATAATATGATCACATAATTAATTAATAACATTACATAATAAAATGATTACTTAATTAATTATGACATTATATTATAAACATTAGTAATTTACTGCATTAGTACAATACCTAATTAAATGATTATAAATTTAATTATTTATAACATTATATTATAAATTTATAATATAATTACTTAATTAATTATAATATTATATTATATTATAAACATTAGTATAATACTTAATTAAATGAAACCCCTATATCTCATTATATAAAACCCACATTCAACGCTTCTCAGTTGAATTGGTCTCTACACAAAATTAATTTAGAAGTAAGCATTATTCAAAGATAAAACAATATTACAATGGAAAATTAATGGCTATTGGTAATAACAATTGTGCGCACTAATACAAAGAATTACATTATTTAAAAGTATGTTCCACCTTTGGGCTGGCCCAAATTAATGGGCCTTAATGTGTTGGTTCTCCCTATAAATGGCCTAAAAACCGGCAAGGTGCCATCCGGGGCCATAGAGCGGCTGGTATCCCTCGGCAATTGATTCTAAAGATTTTAATTGATTCCAAAGGAGTGTCATCACCAGAATAGAAGAGAGATATCCTTCACCACTGCCAGAAATTTAATCTGGTATGGGTTGGCCAATACAAACTTAGCCCTATAGATCCTGAATATTTAGAACGTATTCTAGGTTACCCAATGGGTCACACTAAAGCTGATGAAAATAGTTTACCACAAAGACTGGCATGACCGAGACCCTGCTTTTAGATAGACACTTTGGTTTACCACGTCTCTGTTTTGAATCCTATGTTTCCAGAAGGGCTCATAGTTTTGTCAATCTTCAGTGTAACTGGTGGTGCTAAAGTTACTTTGCATCGGCTTGGCATCAAGTTGAAAGATGTTATTCTTGTAGACACTTCTAAAGCTAATCAGAGGATTCTCAAGGAATGGTGGCGTACTAGTGGACAAACAGGTGAATTGGTGTTGATAAAAGGCAGAGTTCTAAGTTAGAAAAATCATCTAGATAAAATTCAGTAAGGCGTATCAATTTTTATTTATCAAAAGCAACAAATGATTCATTTGGACATAAACATGCCAAACAAATAAACAATTAAGTGTTACCTATACAAAATTGTTAGCCCTTCTGATTCTCCCTACTACGATAAAAAGGGCTTTTAGCTATGAATTTTTTGTTGTTGCTAAAAACATAGAAATGGTTGTGATATACATTTAGCTACAGAAGAAGATCGTCTCCACGATCGTCACGATAGGTATGTCGCACTTGATTTTAGGCGACAATTTGTTAAAATTTGTCGCTAAATTTGGCAACAAATCAAAAAAATTGTTGCTTATACCATTTTTGCCGCTAAAACTAATTACCAGTGAAATATTAGTTATCGTCGCCTAAAGTTAATAGTGGTACTCTCTATTGTGTTGCCTACACTATACTATGACAAGATGTGTATTTGTGTCGCCTAACGTATGTCGCGATGAAATGTGAATTTTTTTCACCTAAGATATACTGTGATGAAATGTGCATTTTTGCCGATTCGCTGTGGTGGAACCTTTTACTGGGGTGGAACCTTTGGCTTGGGTGGGACTTGTAACGGCAGTACAGGAGCCACATTCTTCTGCTCCTGGCTAAGCACACTATCGAACTTATAATCGCCCCTATTAGCACGGCTGCATGGACAAGAAGAGAAAACTATTCCAGTGCACTAGCAAAATAAAGAACACAAAAGTGAGAAATAGATCAAAATTACAAATAAATATTCAAAAACCAAATCCATTGCACTACAAACAGAAGTATCCAAAAACTAAAAACAACATTTTCATAACATTCAGGACCGATGGATACATTCCCTCCCTGATAAGTTTCAAGGTTTCACTAACAACATAATATTTTTAGAGACTTTCCCTCCATGAGAAGTTTCAAGGTCTCATGAACAATATAACATTTTCAATCTCCGTTTAGGAAGCAAAAACAATAAAAGGAAAAAAAGGAAAATGCAAAATATGAGAAATGCAACCATTGTTGAAAGAAAAGTGAGAAATGCAACCATTGTTAAGAGAGAGAGGTGAGAAATGCAACCTTTGCGGATACATTTTGTAAAATATGCAAGAATGAGATGCATTTTGCATCCCTTGTTACCAAATCAACAATTATAAAATGTCACTTTCCCACCCAATTTGCTCTTAAAATTAAGCAACAGTAGATTAAACAGTAAACGCCACTTTCCCACCGTCTGTAAATCCCATTCTGAACGTTCACAAGAAAGGTAGGATGGTCAAAATCTCGTTCAGTGTAGCGGCTGAATGGTTGCCACGTGTCCTACCAAAGTTGACTTAAAAAACAAGGGAAAAGCTAAAGCCCTTTATAACTTTTGAGTTTATTGGGAGCGGCGAGTGGCGACTAATTACGGCTATCGGCGACTGGCAAAAAATAAGGGTTAAAAGCATTAGCTCGCTACTGGTTATGACGAGGACTGAGAAAAAAATAGGGTTCTAAGCAGCGACTGGCAACTGGTTAACCAGGAAGGACGACGACTGAAGGAACACCGGCGACAATGGACGACCAAAGGCTGTTTAGGGTTTAGGGTTCGACTGTTTACGCTGTGGGTAATCATATTTTTGTGCTTTTGATTTTGCCAGTTTGTTGAAATAAGAGACAATTGGTACTATGTTGGGACTGTCATTCGAGGTTAATTTTTACAGAAAATGGGTTAAAGGATTATGCAATTCAAGAGGGCTTTGCATTAAGGAAGTTATCAATTCGAAAACTTTCTCATTCTTGTTTGTTTCTCGGGAAAATTATTTTAATTCCGTGTGTTGAATTGATAGAAACAAAAGAAATTGGCACAAGATGATAACTAGATGTTGGAAAATATGCTTCTGGTTTTACTTCGGTCATCGGTGGTGCATTTCTTACTATTTTGACTTCTGTAATTGAGATTCAGAATTTTACTAGCATTAGTGTTTGTTATTTTTCACCGCAAAACGTGGTGGTTTTAAATTGATTTTTGTGATGCTGAAAGCATTCTCAAGCACTGTTAATTCGTTTATTTGAAACGAAATTGGCGCAAGATGACAATAATTAGAAAATATGCTTTGGGTTTGGGAATTGGCAGTACATTCCTTACTATGACATCAGGAACCGAGATTCGGCATTTTTCTAGCTTGTGTGTTTGTTAATTTTCGCTGGAGAAGTGATCTCTGAGAATTGCTGATGTTAAAAATATTACTTGAAGTGCTCTATTGATTCCTGAAGCTTTTTGTAATGCTGAAAGCACTCTTGAATGTCTAGTTTGTTTGTTTACTTGAAACAAAATTGGTACAAGATGAGAACCAGTTGTTAGAATAGATGCTTGGACTGCTCTTTTAATTCCTGAAACCATTTAAATGATGACAATTTTTTTTTTTTTTTTTTCTTTTGTTAGTTTACTTAAGAGATTGGTATATTGGTACAGTCCTCCACATTGGATTTAGGAGAGGCAGTAATGCAGTATGGACAATCAATTGATGACGGGGAAACTAGCCAGGCTCAAATTCCACAGCTTCTCGGTCAGTAAATGCTTTTGTTGTTAATTTGCTGCCTGCCAGTTTATGGTTTCGTTTGGTTGGATTTTGGGAATACTACTTTTAGTATTTCCAAAGAAGTTAAACAGTAAAATACTCAAAAACTCACAATATTATTCAACTTTATTCAACATTTTTTAAACCCCCTAAATTTGTTAATTCAATTAAATACTCCTAAATATTTTTAATGTTTTTGTTACGGTGACTCCAGCCACCCTCCGGCGGTGGTGGCCGGCTGTCCGTATTTGAGGGTGGATTGGAGGTGTTTTTGTTAACTTTTAATGTTTTATTATAAGGGGTGTTTTGTAAAAAAATAAACATAGGGGGTATTTTATTAATTTGTAAATCCTACATCGTAATACCCGCCCAATTCAACTTTTTTTTAACTTTTTTCAAAAAATTTTTCCCAAAAACACAAAATTGTGAACCAAACGGACCCTATATTTCTAATTCTTTGAAAAGGCAATGTTGGACAATTTGTGACACAAGTGCAATGTGAAGGAAGAAATTGGATTCGCTTTGCAAGAAAGTCATTGGTGTAGCAATGTTTGTGATTGATAATATACTTGTGATGCAATTGGTTATTGTATATTTATTGCAGATTCGTGCAAAATGACACTTTTATGTACATGTATATTTATTTCTTTTTTATATTACTAGTTTCTTTGTTCTTGGTTCTTAGAATTTGTGAAACTTCAGCCATTGGTGTTGTGTGGGGTGGGGTCTAAGGCCTTGGATTGGATACAAATTGGGTGTGAAATTATTTTTGTAACAGAGGATGAGAGTGGAGGTAAGAACATATGTTTTATTGGTGCAAAATGTAAAACCTTTTTGTTTGTTTTGTTTAAGTTTAAGATGAAATCTCAAATGCACTATGGTGAGGATGATTGTCCCGTGGCAGTTCCAAGTCAGTGCCATGTTACTGTTCCTTGGAACTTATAAATTATCCTTGTGTACAATAGGCATTTGTTTGGGCATGTGGAATACTGTAATTACTATATGGTTATTTGCTTGAAAAAGTTTAGGATTAAAATGAAAGGATTTGCATTGGGTGTCATTAGGTAAGGTTCACTTTTAACTTCTCTTTTCTTCTAATGCTTAATATCACTTGTACCGATTGCAGGTCATTGCTGATCATTTGAGTCTTAAAAAGGGATATATGATTGGAGCAAATTTTCAGCAGGTTCAATTGCTGGTTTGTCCACGGGTTAAATGTGATAAATAACAGATTTAATTGATTTTTCTTTGCTGTTGGAAACCTTTGATAGGATCATTCGAGCTTCCTTAGTGGAAAACAAAAGATTGTGAAAAAGGTTTTGAAGATCCAGAAAGCAAAAGAAAAGCAAGCTTCAAGGAGCTAGAAAGTGGAATGGGGAAAGCAAAACTTCTTGGATTTTAAGAAATGAATGAGAAACTGTCTTATAAGAACATCACTAGAAATTTGTAATTAATTGACAAAATGATTCGAATATATATATATGCACTGTAATTTTGCAATCTGGATTCTTATTTAACCAAATTAGTTATGCTAATACTTAGTTTTATTGGGTTTAAATTGACAAAATTTCTTACATATAAATGCCGGGTTAAGTTGCAGCAAATATAGGGATAAAATGGTAATTTTAAGTTTCATAATTTCATTGATTTAAAATATTATTTTAATAGAAAATTGGAGGGATAAATTGGTTATAATTGAAGGTATATCAATAATTTTCATTTAAAGAGTGGTATTTTTGAATTTACAACAAATATATTCTATATTAAACAGAATTTACTGGTGGAACATCACTGTAGGTGGAAAAATGTCATTAGGCCAAAGTAGACCAAAGTGGGAAAATGTCGTTTACTCAAAATTAAAGTAGACTAATCCATCCGCGTGAAAACCATGGCTTCGTTTGGTTAGATTTTGGGAATACTACTTTTAGTATTCCCAAAAAAGTTAAACAGTAAACTACCAAAAAACTCACAATATTATTCAATTTTATTCAACATTTTTTAAACCCCCTAAATTTGTTAATTCAATTAAATACCCCTAAATATTTTTAATGTTTTTGTTACGGTGACTCCGGCCACCCTCCGGTGGTGGTGGCCGGCTGTCCGTATTTGAGGGTGGATTGGGGGTGTTTTTGTTAACTTTTAATGTTTTATTATAAGGGGTGTTTTGTAAAAAAATAAACATAGGGGGTATTTTAAATTTATAAATCCTACATCGTAATACCCGTCCAATTCAACTTTTTTTAAAACTTTTTTCAAAAAACTTTTCCCAAAAACACAAAATTGTGAACCAAACGGAGCCCATAAATTTTGAATTATGAAATGGACCCCATTCATAAATCATTAATCAAAGGAGGTTTTTATATTTCCAATATTTTATCATTTTGGAATTTTACTTCAGTTTAAAATTTGTAAAACAACAAAATATTGGTCTTATCATTTTAGAATAGATTGCATTGATAGTAGATTTAAAACTTATGAATTATTTAATAATTGATTGAAGTATATTTTTAAAAAAAAATTATATATATATATATATATATATTAGAAGATGATCAAGCCACTAAAATATCAACATTCTTTTAATATAAAATTGTATCCGGTATAGGATGGCGTGTTATGATATTCCTAAACCTCATCTGAAGCAAATAAACCATGAAAAAGCTTCAAGGTTAGAAAAGAGAAAAAAAAGAAAGAAAAAGAAAAAAGGNTTATATATTTAACATGCATAGCTAATACAAAAATATCTTTTATTGCACATTTCAAACTCAAAATTAATTTAAATAAAATAATTCATATTTTTTTATTTATCTTAATTTTTTCAAGACATATTGAAAAACATATTATTATTTAGTTAGGAAGATTTTGAAGGGTTTGGATTATGGTTATTGTTATATTGTTTCAATGTTAACTTCTTTTCTTATATATAAAAAAAAAAAAAAAAAAAAATTTCATGACAGTGACAAGTTAAACATCGAGGTGCTTTCTTTTCTGAATTTTGTATATATTTTTTCTGATTTTTTAAAATATCTACAAACATTAAAAGATGTAAAATTGAAAATACATTTAATATGTTTGTTTGAACATAATATTTTTAAAATGTGAAAATAAAAACACATGTGACATTATTGTCTAAGAATACAAATAAAGTAATGAAAATTAAATTTTTTATTAACTACATAACCATAAAACCCTTTTAAATCAGAATTGATTTGTTTCTCTCATAAGTTATATAAAATCTCTAAATGATTTTTTTTTTGTTTAAACATATATGATAAAGATTTTGATTAGAATTGTGAAGCACAGGTGATGTACAAGTGGTCCAGCTTAAGGGGAAATGTTAGACAAAGGGTGTAATTGTAAGGTGGTCCAGCTCAAGGGGAAATGTTAGGCAAAGGGTGTATTTGTAAGGTTTGAGAACTAAACTGGGTTAGTTGGTAATATTAGAAATCTCCTATACGGTGCGTTTTGAGCACTTTAACTATAAATTGTATCTCTCCTATAACTAACTCAATTAATGAAATTCCCAATTTTATTGGCTTTGTGTCTAAGACTTTTCTCTCTAATGTTCATCAGTTTGCCTTTTTTAATTCAAGAAAATCTTCATGGTAGAGCTGTAGACCAACGTCCATGGCTAATTCGAATCCTGAACTGTCAAATTCAACTCCAAGAACAGAGACTGAACAAGATCGAAGCACAAATGTGCTGAGTTCAGCTCTTCACTCAACACTTCCGACAAGCTCAGTGAAGCTATCGGAGAAGAACTATAGCTACTGGCGATCGCAAATTCTTCCAGCATTGATATCTCACAATCTTGATGGATTTGTCACTGGTGAGAATCTATATCCTCCTATGTTTCTTAAGAACATTGCACTTAAGAAATCTGTTACAGACTACTATGTAATATCCCACTTGAGGTACGTATTTAAGATTTGTCGTATTAGTTAAAAGTTTATTGTTTTAACTTAAATTGAGTTTATATGTTGAGTTGGTTGAATTGTTGCCTTGAAATGGGTTGAGTTTTGGTGAAGTTGGAAATCCAAACTTCGCCGGGGCGAAGAAGAAACTTCGCCGCGGCGAGGAGGAGAAGTGGCATTCGTGTAGGTTCTGCCCAATTTCGCCGAGGCGACGAAAAATGCTTCGCCGCGGCGAAGAGCCTAAAACAAAGATTCTTGAGTTTTCTAGAGAATTCTTCTTTTGGAACACAATGACCATTCTACCCCTAATTAGTAGGAAAAGTGGGGAGTAAAATGAAAGGAAATTTAGTAGAGATTGTGTTTGTATGGGGGTGTAGTTGTAAAGAATCAAAGGATATAGATGGAATTTTCAAGAAAGGACAAGGGCAAAATGGGAAATGAAGCTTATAATATGAACTAAAAAGAGTAAAGTGTAGAGAAAAGCCTTATTCATTTCATTCCACCGCCTCTTCCAATTGCCCATATTCTCTCAATTTCTCCACCCAATTTTCCAAGAGTTCTAAGGGATTTAAGAGGGGTTTTGAGTAGAGATTTCATCTAAAGCTTTCTAAGGTAAGAATTCATGCTTTAGATGTGAGTTTTCTTGTATTTATAGTGAGGTCTTATTGTGTTGTTGCTGCCCTTGTGGTTGTTTTGAGTTGTAGAGAAGAGACAAGTCCACAAAGGGAAGGAAAAGTGCTAAGGAAGCCATCTTTGCACAAGGTAAGTAAATCCAACCAAGTTGAGTTATGACTAAGCTTTGAGTAGAGACTTATTTTAATTATGTATGTACATGGTATACCTACTGAAAATTGAGATGAGATGTGTGCTTAGTCTTAGTAGTTGGGATTGATTAAATATGAGAAGTGTTGTTGATATGTGTATTGAGAATGGAGTTTGAGATGAAGTTTGAGAGATATTGTGTAATCCTTTTTGGGAGTGCTTTTCTTGACAGGGATTATGAGTAATTGAGGGAGTTTTTCCCCAATTTGGATGGCTAGAAAAATGAAGTTTAGTAGTAATTTTCGTAGGGTGTTTATATGCACATGAGATGTTTGAGGAAATGCCTAAGTGAAATCTGCCCTGTCACTGCCGTAACTTTCTAAGTAATTTTTGAGTATCTTACGGTTCGAACTGGGCTGAGACCAAAACAGAGAAGTTGTAGCCCTGTTTCTAAGCTTTGAAACGAGACCAGAACCGTAGTAATCCGAGGTGTATAGCATAAGTTATGGCCGTTTTAGTGTGACTGGTGCAGAATGACTGTTTTGAGGAAATCTTGTAGTTGGCATTTCATTAGTGCATTAGGGAGCATGAGCTAGCTCTACACCTTTGTTTATGCACTTAAGCAGTAAGATATAGCTTGAGATATAGTATAGAATATGAGTATATGCTACTCTCTTAAGAGAAAGAGAATAGAGTAGGTTGTGCGATGGGGAACCCGTGAGTAATGGGTAGAGTATTCCCGCATGTACGCCGCATTGAGAGAGCGGCATGAGTATCAGATAGAGAAGTGGTGTAGCCCGTGAGAGTGCATGCGGATGAGGGCTATACCCGAGTACCCGAGAGAGAGAGATTATAGACTCACATGGCCAAGGGTTCCGAATCCATGCATAACCGAGTCCGATCGGCTAGAATGAGTAGAGATCACGTAGAGTGGGAGTGAGTCCCGGCCGTGCCCCCGGTGAGATGGGGTCGTGATTTATGAAAGAGTTATGAGAAAAGAGTTTCTAAGAGAAAGAGAAAGAGGAAAAGAAAGACGTACCCAAAGAGTTATTGAACGGGGAGTTGTAAGGAAAGAATTAGAGAAAGAGAGTTACGGGGCTAGTATGAGTAGAGGATTTACTTACTGAGCATTATTTTAGTGCTCACCCCGTTGTTTTCCCATGTTTTGCAGGACCTAGGTGAGGACACTGTCGGATGGATGTCGGCGTGCGAGGAGGAGTGGTTACACTGTCCCTGATGTTTTGATGACTTTTTGTATACGTTATATATATTTTGTGTAAAAATGCATATGTTTGTAAAGAGTATGTATATATGTTTAATAAAAGAAAAACTTGGGCCCAATTTCTTTATGTTATTTTATATGTATTTTCATTATAATCTTTTGAGTAGTAGTGGCTATTACATACTAAGAAAGAGTCTTTTAGTATTAATGACTATATTTTGAAGATGAAAGAATTAGGAGACAAGCTAACCGCAAGTGGAGTCAAAATTGGTGATGAAGAGTTGCTGCTGTACATATTAGATGGTTTAGGTCCTAAATACGATGTTGTGGTTGCAAATTTGACATTTAATAGTAGTACTGCAACTATTCAAGAAGCTCAATTCGTGTTACATAAGCATGAAATGAGGCTTGAAAGACAGAACAATGCTCTATTAAGCTTTCATGAACAATTAAGTTCTGCTCTAATAGCTGCTAAACAAGGACCTATTTACTCTGTAACTCCACAAAATTCAGGAGCTAGCTTTCAACATGTCTCACATATGTTGAAACCAGGAGTACTAAATTGTCAGTCCCTGAAATGGCCTTTTAACAAGGTCAAA